AGCTACTGGGCCTCCTTGTCCTTTGATAAATCTTTAACCCAAAGCCAGCAGTGCGTTGCCACTTTGTAAATGTTAACTTTCAGGTCAAAGGGAATGTAGATGTGCAAGGGTTAATCACACACTGTTTCACTTCATGCTCCTTCTCCTAGTCAAAAGAAATGACTGTACTTCACATTGGATTGCCCACACAGCCCAGACTTCCATTTGGCTTATCCAGTCAGGAAAGAACGTGTGTTTTTATTTATGAGCTTGTCTTGTATTTGACATCTTTGAGAGAAGTCCATGGTGGTATGCTGAGAAGGAATTTCCTTGTGCAGTTTCAGTAGGTATGGAACCAGAGTTTCTATGCATTGGCAAGCCCAAGGGGCACAACAAGCTGTATCTCAGTGATATAATGCCAAAGCAGGAAAAAGAAAACACATGTCTATACTTAGGAGTATTTGCAGCAGGGGCTGGCTAAGCAGCTGAACTGCCAGAGCTAGATTTCACAGTCTCTTTGCTACCACAGATAGCTCTGATCATCTAAACCAACTTCCTTACAAACATACCAGGGTACTTTTCCTCAAAGCTGTGTTAAAGCACGTCTTTCAGAAAACTAACGTTACCCTGAAAAGCCCCAAACAATGACAAATCTGCTTTCTTCCAGGCATCACCACTCTCACTGTTAGGGAACGACCTCTAATTTCAAGATCTTTTTATAGACTCAGGTTCTGAGAGTCACGGTTTATTGCCACTTTGCCTGCACAACCGGAAAGCCCTTACGCTGCTCGTGCACCCACGGTTAGTGATGAAGATGACTCTTAACTTCTTCATTGGGTTCTCATGTACCATAAAGAAACGTATTTTCCCCATATGCTGACTAGATGTTAGAATAAACCCACGGTAGCACAAGTAGATGATGCTAAGAATAAAATTTTGGCTACATGCCAGGCCCTCACTAGGTGGGAGAGCTTTGCCGTTGATTGGAGAGTTGAAATTAAAGCTGATTGGGACTTTTGATTTTATTCTCCTTCCCCTCTTCCACCTGACACCTATGTATGTGACCTTTTTTTCCAAAACCAGTGTCTGTCTGAGGACCTAACGCACAGTGCTGCAGCAAAGCGCACCCTAAGGAAAGCTTTACCTCTGCGCACTTTCTGGTGACTTGCCAGCCAGTGACAGGTCCATCAATAATGATAATGGCTTTTTGTCAAAGAAAACTAGTGCACTAAGCCACAGGCTTGCTCAGCCCTATAGAGGAATCAAAGTAACTGGTGTCCTCGTAGGAAAAGTGAGACAGGAACATGACTTCTAATGGGAAGAGCTCACTAACAAAAGAAATAGAAGGATTAAGTTCCCTTTGCTGAAAAGTAGAAGCAGGTTTTCGATCAGCAAAGTCTGTCACCTCCTTATCAACTGACAAACGAGGATTTAAGCCCCGACTTCACTATACCTCACTGAAAAAATCTGACTGCAGGCTACGGCACAGCAGTTCATATCTCACTTGTAATAAACAGAGCACATTGCATCTGCAAATATTATTATCAATAATGAAAATTCGTATTAAGGTTGCACTAAGGTTGCATTACTGGATAGGTTTCCCCTGATTAAAGCCAGTGGCACCTTTGCTAAAGGCTGCTGCAAGGAGCAGGCAATGCTGTCGCTACGAGAACAAAAATGTATACTCAAAAATTCAAGGCTACTGTACACATGGGTTTCCTACTTTTCTGCATGGAAATCAAGAGGGTCAGATTTGGGGTTTTTTCCATGTTTAGGACATATTCATGCTTCTGACTACCCCCTCAGTCATCAAATTGGTCATAAATCAACTAGAAAACTCTGCCGAGCCCCTTGGGAAGAGGGGAGGCTCGTTGTTTATTTGCTATACATTTCACCGGTGTGTGCACGGGAAGCCTAACACATCTCAAATGTACCTGCGTGAGCCATCTTCACTGACACCTCTGGTACACAGCACCTGGGCATATATTTCTGCCTGGGAAATAACATGGAGAGATTGAGTAGCTCCAGTTTAAAGGAAGTGGGTAAAAGTGCTTTGATGTGAAATGTGTGCGCCTGTGACGGACACCGGAGAGACAGACGGAAGGAGAAGGAGAGATGTAAGAAAACAGAGAGGCAGAGTCATGCACAGAGAGGCGGAGAGAGAGACAGGGAAGGAAATGAAGTGGTACAGCAAGAGAGACAAAGCATGGCAGAGAGCAACAGAGAGAAAAACAGGGAAAGAAAGGGGGAACCAGAGGTCAGAGAGCGGGGATCAGGAAGAGAAGGGTCTTTGTGATCCAAAAAAACCCCAGGGTTTGGCTGGACAATGAATATTTGGGAGAAAGATTAACACAGGGTTTTTTTAGTGACTATTTAAAACTGATGTTCAGACATTCTGAGATAGAAGTAAAGCAGAAGCATTGAAGGGATGGCCCAGTGAATAAGGGTAAAGTCAATGAAAAAAACTGGGATGGTCATTCCACATCGCCTGCTGGATCCTGACATTTGATATACACCACAGCAGGTGTGAGATATTCTTGCTCTATACACAAAACTAACATGGGTACAACCAAGATATGTATGGTGGCATTATTGTGTACACAGCCACTATCGCTGATTAAAATAAGGAGAAAAATGCACCTAATCCCACACTACAGCTATTCAGCAGGTTAATGGTGCCTGCAACAGCTTCTGCCAATTCCCATTGTTTGCCTTATTTATAATCAGTCCATTCTGCCTCAACACTACGTTTAGGAAAACAGAAGCTACCACTCCAAACAAAAATCATACGGAGCTATGTCCAGAGAGCTACAGCGTGAGCCAGTCATGTAACTGTGAAAACTACAAAACAGGGACACCACAATTATCCAAACCCCTAGCATGGAAAACCCACGAGATTTTAGGATTATATTCAAACATAACTCAAATATGCTAATACCCTTAACTCAACCCTGATGAAATACTAGAAGAAACGTAGGTAAAAATACATGCAAAAACCCATACAGGTGTTTTACAAAGCAATCTGTTCTAATTGAGGAACACAAATTCTAAAGCACTGTAATCATGGTCAGACAGGTCTGCAACTATTTTTCAGGGCTACTGATGGAGAACAGCCGGGAAATTTAGCCTTCATCCTTTAGGATTATAACCAAATGACAGCTACCTAAGGATTGCAGTTCATTAAAACTAACCATTGAAGTTAAATGATTTGTTTATGTAGGACAGAGTTAAGGTTGGTGATACCAGAATAAATATTGTGACAACACAAACAGCTTGGAACACCTCTGGTACTCATTTTCTTCAAGTTAAACATCCAGACTAAAATTAAAAAAGGTAAACTCTTTGATTCCCAATGTATTGAAAGTGCTACAATTTGATAAAGATACACCAGAGCCTTGCCTCCAGGGAAGCCTCCTTCACTTTGCAGATGGGACAGTGAGACTGACCACAAAGTCACTTGTCAGACCACACAGCAGGTCAGTTCAAGAGTGGATGGAGGTATCTAAGGAGGAGTTTTATGGCTTACAGCTGTATGATTTAAGTCCAGACATAGCTGAGCCTAGAGCAGGAGCCACAGCCTCAAACAAACTTCTCTCTCAATCTGCTAACTTTCTACTGCCTACATGCTCTACTTTTCCTCTGTACTATTCCCTTTACCTTGTCTCCCTCTTATCACAACAGTATCTTTTCTAATTTGCTCCTAAATCCTGATTGTCTTCACCTTCAGTCCCACTGGTGCAGAGGAATTACGCATTCTCTCCTCTTCCTGGAGTGTGAGCTGACCTTCACAAGATTTCTCATATGAAGACGTTTCTTCTTTGTGGAGTCTCAGGAGTCAAATGCACAAATACAGGTAAGCTGCAACTAGGGCTTAGGTCACCCTACAGCATGCTGAGCAATGTTCGTTTTTTGATTAATTGAAGAGGGCTACTTAGGATAGTTGCTTCCTCCAAATCAAAGAAAGAGCTGTACAACCGTTGCTTCATGCTGCATCTTAAACTAAATGACCTCCCTTACTCTTACTATACTTCCAATTCTCCTAAAGAAGCCATGGGGTGAAGGAAGAAATAGCCCTACCTTTCTTGTTCTGCTCTGCAGTTCCTTGGTAACTGGAGGGAGCCCAGATCTGATTACCCTAAGACCTTGAGAAAATAATTCCAGCTGTCTTTGTCAAAGGAACAGAGACATTCATGCTGTCATGAGCTGCATAGCTCAGACATGGGTTATCTGCTCTGAATATTTCGGTACCCTATTTTCCCTCGTCGTAAATGTAAACTAACAACTTATTTCATACAGGCATCTAAAAACTCACTGCACTCATGTTTGCAAATGCTCCAAGACCTTTCTGGAAGGAAAAGCAAAGTAACCATATTTTTACTAAGTTTGACTGGTGCACCTAGCTGTCATTTTTGTGCCTGATTAGTGGCAATAGGCAGCTTTCCATTTATTTCCAAGCAGCTGCTAAAGAAGAGCTGCAGTCAGATGTAATCTGGAGACTGCAGAACTCTTCTCGTTGCCAATTTCACACCAGCTTTTTGCTTTCTTCTATCCCCATTTATTATTAATCTGTATTTATGTCTAATTCCAGCTTTTAGTTAGCCTTTGCCAGAGGCTAAACCATTAGAGGTAACAATGAGGAAGGAGGGGAAAGAAGAAACTGCCATAAATCAAGCTTTTACTACTCCATATAAATAATGGGAAGGTGAGAAACTGTGTAAAGCTCGGGCTATTTAGGAAGACAACAGCTTGCCCAGTAGATCAGAACAGGTCAAGTCTCCTTTATCCCTAGTACTAAAAATGAAATGGAAACATCCCTATCACATAACTTTCCTGCTAATCATGCTCAGTTCCTACTTTTTACAGGGTTTTATGTCCGTTTTAAATTTCTACACATTCTCATTCAGAGAATGATCTTATATTTCATGTTTTCTGAATCTGCTAAGTTCTTAGGCTCAGTAAGACCATATCACATTTGTTCCAAATAAGGACTGTATAAAAACATACTTTTTCCATCAGCTTTCAATGCATTGTCTTTTAATTTAGTATTAAGAACAAGACCACACTCAATTATGAAAAGATAAACAGGAATACCTGATTCACTTTGTCCCCTCCAAAGTAATAAACTTTATTTTAAGCAGCAGAATTAATACCACTTGTTTTCTACTCATGATTTTCTTTTTAAGGCTTCAAATCTTTTTTCATCTCTTGCCTATTTCTTTTATACCTTTTGAGTAGGGCTGAACAGTGTGTTCCAGGCAAGACACCATCATTCATTTAACGAAGGCAATCTGTTATTTTCCAGACCATTCCTTACCCATCGATACATTTTGCTCACTTGTTTTGTTCACTTTACTGTAGATGAGAAGCCCACTTAGTGTCATCTTTCCTTTAGAGGTAAGATGAATGTAATTCTTTGCAAAGACTGTCCATAAGTTTTCCAAAATGGAGACAAAGATGTCACATATACGTGCTGTGTATGATAAAGCTTCCCACAGCAGTGTGAGCGGCATTCAATTTATTGCACACTTTCCCAAAGTGTTTCCATGTATCCAAACAGCCTGCAATGCTAAGAAACACTCTAGGCTTCAGATTGGATTTTTGGAAATTCTTCCCCAAGTCTTGTCCAGCAAAAGTAGCTTCAGCAGTCTACCCGGCCAAAGCATAATATCATTTTACTCTGCTTGACATAAGCATTATTGTCTTTAAGCATCCCGTCAGAATGGGAATGTCGTTAGGAACTTCAAGAAGTCATCTTCCACTTCTTCAGTATTCAGTCATAATGAAGGCTCTTCAATGTTCCTCCTCCAAACCTTTTCCTTTCAGAGAAGCCAGGAATCTAAAGACAGGAAAGGTAAGTTGTCATGTCAGAATAGGAAAGGTAAGTTGTTATGTCAGAATTAGCATGAGCTCCCTCTAGCCCACATTGAGTGCCTGTTACCAAGCCAACTGCAACAATGCCTTCCTCTTCCACGCCGTCTGCAGAATCAGGACTAAAATGCTTCAGCTTACTTCTACAGGAGCATCATCAATTAAACAAGATGCAAAACTTGAGTACGGCTCATTACTTCTATGGAGCTCCTTAAGACTTTTTTGCAAAGGTTACAATGAAAGTCTTAATTTCTTGGGCAAATCCTAAGCAAGTTAATTACAGATTTCAAAGTCCGTATTTTCCCCCAGATTCAAATGCATACAAGAATTTCTCCTCCAGTCATTTTAAAACTATAAAATAGTATTACCAAGTTCTATTAAACAGCTGTTGAGACTTTATGCTTTCTAACCTGAGACAGCAGCATTTCACTGGTAGTTGAAAGTACACTTTTATCAGTTGCTGAAAGCTTTAAGAAACCTAGCAGACTAGAAATGGCTGCAACAATACAAAGGATTAGCACTCCTGCTTTTGCAGCCAATCTGTAGACACTGCTTACACCGTGACAATGAGTGCTTACAAACAAAGTCTACTTGAAACCATCAGAAGCTTCTCTGGCTTAAGGATATTTCAAACAGACTTGCAATCCAATGGACCTGTGAAGCCCCCAAAAGAAAGAGATGCGCTGCTTTCTAATGCTCTATAAGATGTCTGTCCTATTGGTGGCATCAGAAAACTATTTGATTACAGTCCAGGATAACTTTCAGATATCTAAGTACATAGAAGCAGAAACAGTAGGCCCAGTAAACACATCCTCTCAAAGTAATTCCACACTCTCATAGGAAACACAGTGTATTAAAATGGAAGGTGTCAGCCAAGCACTACAAATCACGCCAGGAGAACACGGGCATGTACGAATGGTATGGGATGAAAATGTAATTTACAACACAAAGTAGATTGCTTAGGTTACACACTTCATTGGTAAACTGAGAGAGGTAAAGAGCTTGCCCAAAATAAGTGTCTACTAAAAAACCACAATTTAAATTTAGTTAGGCTTTTCAGGCCCAAAACTCAAATGGATATTCAAGGTATTCATTCAGGAATTGTTTTGTTCATGTCTGAAAAGCAATCATCTCTAAGGAAAGAATCAGGGAGATTTTGCACAAAGGTTTGTCTCATCAAAACTGCTTTGGGAATTCAAAAAGGAAAAATGCAATCATTGTAACTAAAAAGTAGCAGGACACCATAGCTAAAAACTTATCTGCTTTAGCCTTTTTTATATCAAAGTCACTAATTAAGAGTAACAATTATTTATTATTAGAGATCTGATCGAAGTCATAGCTACAAACAATCTGAAACTTATCATTCTTTTCATCCTGAAGAAGTCTACAATAGAAATACCTCAAAACACTAGTGATCAAAGAGTCCTATTGCAGAAAACCCACAAACACATTTGTAAGATTTACATTAAGTAGATTATTTCAAATAATAACATTAAGAGGTTATAATGAAATCTCCAGTTCCCATTTGGATTTTGCCTCTTTAAACACAGCTGTCCACTGCTTAAGAATTGTTTTAAGCTTTTGAGCTGTCTTCAGTGAGGCATATGAAAGTAGTCATCAGAAGGCTGTAATCTTTGGCACGTGGCCATAAGGAATATAAAGTTAATCCCTGGCTAGCCACTAAAAATGATCAAATAAGAAAAATATAAATCTTACATCATGCAAAGACAACCAGCACACAGACAGATTTCTGCATGAAGCTATTATCCCCATGAAAGGGAGACTTCCTTTCACTAGAATGTGGGGAGGAGGGGAGAGGGGAGGAAAAAAGCCATCATGCAGAACTGGAAGAGGAAAAAGCAAATTTATTTTTAGAAGGCATAAAAAAACCTCTCAAAGAAAGTAAGTATTTTCTAATCTGTGACTATTTTTTCCCCCATTCTCCCTAAGGGGCTTTCAGCACAGCTACATCTAATGATACATTTGATTGTATTTCAGTGGTGCTATTCATGGTAATTTGAAAGCACCTCACAGATATGTTAAGTGGAACCTCACTACTCCCCACATAGTAGACTGTGGGATGGGAAGGTGGGGGGCACAAAAAGTTGAAGTGGCCTGCTTCACATGACCAGGAGAGTCATTTTGCTAGTTCTTCACCAACTGTTGTGAAAGCAGTTAATTCAGCCATTTAGGAATGAATGGTATCATACTGCCATTTTCCTTGTGGCTTTACTGGTTCTATGAAAACTACCTGTACAAAACATAAAATGCTAGTTCCACCTGTGCAAAAAAAAACCCCAAAAAGCTTTTTCATTGATGTTCAGGACAGCATCTCTGGCCTAAATCTGCAACCAAGCAGCCTGAAGCTGACAGATCTGCAACTGATTGTATTTGCCCATTTTACCTCACCCTTGCAACCTCTACTATGTTAGCATACTTATTTCACTGCCAATCACATTACAGACAAAGACTTCAGCTGACAACGGTCAGCCATTTTTCTGCCTACCAAAAAAAGATGTGCTCCCATAGATTTAAAAACTCAAATGATAATCTATGCTGGTAATTAAGTCACATGAAGCCTATGTTTTAAAGAGGACTCTGTCAACAGTTCATATTACACAGGGAGAAACAAAACAATAGAGGAGGAAAAATGACAAACCTGATTGCCATCTCTTAAGAAGTATCTCTTCTCTATGACCTGGGAAAAACAGAGAATGATCTTAGCTGGTACAGCATATGCATAACCTCAGATTCCAATCAACACTTCACAAGAGAGCACTGAAACGCATGGCTAACTGGGACAAGGTCTGAACCCATGTGCCCTGCTCCAGGCCTACTGCTTTAAGTGCAAAGCTCTATTACACACAGAAGTAGTTGCCACCTCCAGTCGTTCTTGGTAAAGCTGTGTTATCATCAACTTCTACACATGTAATTCAGTTATCCCTCTTTAGTAATGAAGGTGACGGTTTGGGTGTCTCCTTATTGCACCAGTTATTCCCATCCCTCTCTGCAGGTGCAGCAGTTCTGAGCACTAGTAAAAGCTCATTCTGCAGGTGCATAACAACTCCAGTGGTTCTGAGTAGCCCCTGGCCACAGGTGACGCCTGAGAAGAACTTAACTTGCTCTCTGACAATGATGCACAACCTGTCCATGATGAAGGATACCTATGGAGGCTGTACCGCCAATCCAAGAATCAAAAAGTGATTTGTATCACCCTGTACAATCTACAACCTCCTCCAAAAAAAATTCAGGCCTAATTTGCTCTAAAGCGTGACTTGTTACAGGAGGTGATGTGCTCCACTATGATTTCTCTGTCTAGGAGATGCTTAAACCAGAGCATTCCTTCTGTCATTTTCACAGTAGGCCCTGATGCTCTCTTGTGCAGGAAGGAAGAGTAATATGCCAAATTTCTTAACTCCTAAGGCTTGCTTTAACCAAGAGCAACACAGCTAACCATAGTCTTGTAACTCCCCATATTACTGCCTTAGCACACTTGCAAACCCGCTGGCCTGCCAAAGGGCTTCAAAAGCATATGCAGAGTGTCTTTGTACATTTGTGAATTCTTTTTTGTTCCTCTATGCAGACGAAGAATTGAACCTTCAAGCAGATCAGCTATTTTCTGGAAGTTTCCAAAAGCAGACCAATCTTTGGCCTCCCCACACCTGGCTTGAACCGACTCAAAAAATGGAACGCGAAAGGAGCAGCTATCTGTTGTCCCACGTTCACATCACAGACAGCATTCAATAATAGAACAATAAAACATAATTTAATTAACCTGACTTACCTTATCAAAAAACCTGCTTAGCTTGACAGCATTGGATGAACCTGCAGCCAGGTAACGGGGATTGGTGCAATCCTAGAACACACAAAAGACAACAACAAACCAAGCACAAGGAAATCAATGCAAGGAAGCCATACGCATGGAAATCAACATACCCTTTTCCATTACACATGCATATGCAATCAGCTAGGGAAAACACTGTATTTCTGCTCCACATTCATTTGAGAGAAAAGGCCAGGTTCTGTTCTGTGAATCAACTGGAGAATTCTAAGCATCTCCCTATGTGCTCCATGTCTTCCTTCTGCCACGAGCTAAACAGTCAGCTTACAACTTGTACAAGCTTGAGATTGTGCATGCGTGTGTATGTATGTCTGCGTATATACAAGCATTCACACAGCACATGTACATTTTTATACATATATATAGACGCTATATATAAACTGATCTTCATGGTTCATTCAAACATAGTCTTTGTCAGAACTAAGAACAGGGAAGGGAAAACTTAACTACCAACCATCAATTCTAAGCTTCAGTGACCTTATCTAACACCCTCTATACCTCCCTATAGTTAAACAAAGATGATTGTTTCATCAAGCAAGGGGGATGGCCAATCAAAATGTGCATGACTACAGCATTACTGAGAAAATATCCAAAAGCCTGATTTTTCTAACAACATCTTCACTCACTAAAAATCAGAATCTCTCCCATATAAAAGAAAAACAACACCGGTGACAAGTATACTAACCAAATTTATCTCTTCAGCATTGAAATCCTCAGCCAAGAAAGCTGTTCTGGTCAAAACTTCATTCCGCTTAGTTTCTGGGATCTGATCCAGCTTAGTTCCTATTACCAGCAGAGGAATCTGGTTATCAGCAAACTGTTCACGGTCATAGTCACTGATGAGAGAAACATATAATTCTGACTGAAGTGATGGTCGTGTAAGCAGGCACAGGAGCGCCATCAGTTCCCCTGTCCCTTTCAACTAATGGTCATTTATTTGTTAAGGGTCATTATTTATCTAAGAGAGAATGTGCTGTGTCTGTAAATCAAGGAAGGGCTTCTGCATCTAAGGCACTACACAGAGACTGAAAGGAAAAAGAAAAGAAAAGAAACCACATGAGTTTGATTTCTTCTCATCATAGATGAACTGCAGAAGAAATGCTAAAACAAGCAGGAAAGAAACAGGAATTCCAGTATTGTGCCAAGTGTATGCAGCCACCAGAGACAGATCAGGGAGCTGCCATCTCTGAACATCTAAAGTTCCTACATATATACACTTTTTAAGGAGGGACAATGAAATAAATTGCAACTGTGAAACACTACCCCTATCCACCTTAGATCAACGAGGGTTGCAATAACAATTCTGTGGTGGTAAGTTACTACTTCTACATTCAAGTAAAGGTAGCCACTACAAGCTGAATTCCAACAAGCTTTGATTCAGATATGAATAATAATCAAAGACATCCTTTATAAAAATAAACAACATTGCAATTAAATGTCATCGCATATCCAAGCTCCAATCATACCTCTCCCATTTTGTCTTCCATTTTTACCTGAACCAAGGTTTCTAGAAAGTAATTTTTCAACCAACAGCAACAACTTGACCAGTAATTGCTAGTGGCTGAGCATCTGTCCCTGACAGAAGTTAAGCTTTTGAAAATTTAAAAAATTGTGAAGAACCTGTATGTGGAAAAACTGCAGAAATTTGCCATTTATACAGTGCAAGCCCTCCTTCCCTTCTCCATGTTTCTACAGAAACACCTGTGTACCAGCACAGGCAGATAAACAATTGATATTCTTCCCACAAAAAGCCACACCTTTACTATTGCTCCCCTGCTCATGTGTGAGGTTTATCAATGATCTTAAAACCTCTTTGACTACATGTGTAACAGGAGCATGGAGATACAGGAAGAAACACTTGACAAGATGCTGGAAAGCTAATTATGAATATACTGTTTAAGCAGACTTTTATAAGCTCTTTTTTAGCCACATTCCTGAAGTAATTCCCCACTGCCCAAATAAAAAAGTAATTAAGTGAACTTCCTCAGTCTTGGTGCACTGAGGGAAAACCTTTTGGAACAGAGACATGCCATCCTGTGGCACTTCCTGTACAAGGGCGTTGCACGTCTCAGTACAGACACACAAGTTTTCAGGTAACAGGGACTGCACGCGCTCTCACAGAGGCCTCAGACAAATGAAGGATGCAGGAAACATCTTTTCCCTTAAAGCAAGGTCTCTGCCATACAGTTTGGGAATCTACTGGCAGGATGGTCTGACTGGCAGTGTAAAACAAAAAGAACAGTGATCTTCTTTGATACATCACATTTTTTTCTTTCTTTCTTAGAAGTCTAGCCATATCTAATTTTTAACTAGCCTTAGGAACGAACAAAGCCTTCCCAAGCTGTTAGCTTGGAATTATTGTGCCTTAACCCTGCATGTATGTTTTTCACTCACCCATTTGTCACAAGAACTCCTGTTGGAGCGACATCTCTGTTGAGTGCTTCCAAAGACCAGCGATACAAATTCTGGGATGATTTCTTGTTGGTTAAGTCATGCACTAAAATTATCCCTAAAGAGATGGCAGCAAGATGTTATTTAGTGATATATATTTTTTTCCTTATCTTACCAAAATGACATCTGCAGGTTCCCAGTCATCTGAGAATGAAGAAAGGGAAATATAACTGGTTCAGTTACGGTGAATGAGTAAAGCTGAAAATATTAGGATGCAACAGCTTTTTTAAAGCTGCTTATCAGGAATTAGATAAGAGTGAAGAGAAAAAACCTCATAGAAGGAGGAAACAAACGGCCACTTCAGGGTTTAATCTGCAAGAGGCTTGCAAGCATTCCCTGATTCTGCTCTGTCTAGTCCTGTATTACTGCAGCAGGGAATTTACCCTTTCTCTGTTTTACCTAATTGGTAAACATAACTATCTTTTTGTCACACCATCTAAGAAGTCTAAAGGCTGTTTCTTTGTTTCAAAGAGTTTAGAGAGCACTATTGCTTTCCTGCATTTTCAAGAATTAATGCTACATACCTGAGGAGGGGAAACACACTCTGATAAACTTTTAGAGTCCACCAAATGGCTGGTAGAAACATGAATTAATAAGATTTCATGTATTTAAGATTAAGCTTCTAGTATTTTTCATTACCATGATCCTTCAAAATGCAATTTCAAAGACAGAAAAACAGCCAGCCAAACTTCCTAGCTGTGCTATTAACAGACACCCACTTCTGATAACCACAGTTCCTACCTCAATTACCATCTCCTGATAGCAAATTTCTTCTATTTATTCATACCTTCTGCAACCTGTGGAATGGAACTTCCTCCAGACTTCAAACCATCATTAATTCAAGGACAAAACAGAATTATATCCCTTATCTTCATCAGGATTTGTTCTCAACACACTTCACAGCCCACAGGTGGACAAAACTCATTAAATTAATCTTTCACCTTAACTCCCACTGTGCCACCCACTGTACACACTATGACAAGCCGCATTTCCACAAACATTCTCCACTAGCCCATATGACTGTGTGCAGACTCTTCTATGAGAGTTCCCAGCATATCACAACCATAGCCCTATTTCAAAGCATTTAGCTCAGTGACAGTATAAAAAGGCAACTCAACTGTATGTCCACCCCCAGCACAGGGAGAAAAAGCCTGATACAACGTAAGTTGGCCTACGGCAACAGATTCAGAGGTGCTGCTGCATAATCTGCGGGAAACATTCTCCACCTCCAGACACTCTTCCACAGTTACGTTTTTGATTGGTCAGTTCCCTTATCTGCTTCATTGCAAACCTACACAGTTAGTTGCACCAGCAGAAAAAGACTATGTCAACATCAAAAAAGGGCAGGCAAGACCAATGACTACTCAAGGAAACGTTCCTCCCCCATTAAGGTTTGCAAGCCACAGCCTTACTGCCTAGTCACTGTCCTGGACTTTCACAGTCCACACACCAGATGCAGGGATACCAAAGCAGAAGATCTGCAGTCAAACCAAAAGCAAACCGCACTTAATCTTGTCAACAATCAGGTCTTGCTGACAGTCTGCACAGATGCTGCCACAACCAAACATTAACTGTCTTTTCATCTCAGGTTTTCAGACCACTGCAAACCCAGAAAACACAAGCAGTTAGGCAGAAGGAATGCATTCATCTTCGCTTCTTACATCAGGCCAAACGGAGGCAATTTGTGACACAACCTCTAATGAAAGAATTAAGCTAATGAAAGAAACCAGAGCCATGGCTACCTACCTAAGTCAACAGTTTTCATATGCGAGCTGCCTAATAATATCTTTTGGGCAGTGGAGATAAATAACTCTATTTTAATAATGTCATCAATTATAATTCAGACACAGAAGTTCAAGATTTCATCTCCTAATGGGCCGTTCTAGGATATTTCCAAGTGGTATACTATGGATCTGGTGTCAAAAAGAAATAAATTTTTTTCATATACTGCAGAGGCTTGCTTTGAGGGCACAATTCAACTCAAACCAGAGGTTTGGTTACAGAGGTCTGGTTAACAATATAAGCAAGAGGTACCTACACACAGTTTTCCTCCTGGGAAAGGAAGAAGAAATACCTAGTTAAATAATCACAGAGCAAAAATGTTTATTGTATGGCTAAACACATTATTGAAAGGCCCTAAAATGACTGGGAACAGGAAATGAGAATCAAACAGAACATTTGAGACAGTTTTTCAGAAGCAGTTCTTAATCTGGTACACATCTATTTCTAGCAAAATGTCCTTGGATGCCAAGAAGTAACAACTGAAATACTGCATTATTAAAGTTTATAATCTCTTATTTGCTCTTATTAGTGGTACAGATGAACTACTAGGCCTTTCAGTATCTCAACAGAAGGCATAAAATACTACTTTCTATCTACAGCAAGTTACCAGATTCGATTATTAAAAATAATTTGACAAATTAAGTAAGAAGAGGCAAGATGATTATCAGCATATTGCAATTATATGGGAGACCAGTTCATATTTGCCAGGGTAGGATATAACTATGAAAGTTCATATAAATTCAAATAATTAGTTCCCAGCTGTAGCTTTTGGAACCAAACAGACAAGAAAATATACATGCAGAAATATTATTTATATCAGGCCTGGAAAAGTGAAGGCAACTTTTATGTCTGCAAGTGTAGCTGGAAGGGCCCCCACTGCAACTTCAAAGACTCCCTGCTGCGCCAGCTGCACAAGACTGAAGTGAAAGGCTGAGGAAGCACATCTGCAGAGGTTTGCCTAAAACAGGTTTGCCTAAAATAGCTTTCCAGTTCAAAACTGAATCCATAAAATTCTGCCTACAAATGGTGTAAGTTTTTTTCCTATATAAATGTACTGGAATCAGTAAAAAGAACAAGATAGCCCTCAGCCAGACTTAAAGGAACACTGGCCCAGAACCAAGAGACAGCTCATAACAGAAATAGTGATAAAACCAGACCAAGCAAACTCACCATTCAGCAAGTTATAAAATACTGCTCGTGTGCTTTTCACACTAGTGGCACTACCCACTGAACCTCCAACATCCCACAGCTCAATGTAGTAGGTCTTCTCTTCTGGAGTGCCTTCTTTGTAGTCATGGATCTGATGAAAAATTCACATCATACATAATGACAGCACCAGCTCACAGGAGTTAATCCACACAACACTGACGTGTAAAACTGAAAGGATTATTGTACTTGGATAGGAATTTGTAAATTCTTATGTTGACACCATTTGAAATCTCTCAAGTAGAAGGGAGGTGGAATGAGTCAAGCTGTAGCTACTGGATACTACAGCTCTTATATGAGATGGAGCTTGGCGAGTCAGCAGGGAGTATCCTTTCCACCTCAATATTAACAAACCTAATGCCTCATGATGTGCTTAGAAACAGCATGTTGCTAAAGCAGATGAAAAACTAGGGTCATGATTTCTTACAGTTGTCAAAACCTACATGGTAGTACTGGAGGAATATTAACACAGGTCTCCACATCAGATTCCAACTGACCACACCTTTTTCCTCTACAAATTCTCACTGACATCTCAACTGAATCAATCCACAATTTTTGCCCTTGGATCTGCTAGGTAGTTTTCCTCTGCAAACAGGGCTGGCATGTTTCTTTCCCCAGATTTTGGAACTATATTCCTAACCTATGGCAATGCATTTCAAGGAGAATGCAGCATAGAGCGATGAAGGAAGAAAGCATTTATCACTATCACATGAGGATTGTAGGTTGGGCCAAAAAAATGCTAGATGAATATTCTCATTCCTCTGCTAGTCCTGTAATGAGCAGACAGGAAGAGAAGCAACGCTATGGTCAGTACCCTCAAATTAAACAAGTAAATTGTTTCTCCCCAATGTTTGGCTGACAATTTAGCCGTGCATTAACTGTGTTTTAAATTCTGTGCCTTCTGCCTTAAACTGGCCGCTCTGTAACTTGTGAGACACCAGCAGCCACTGCAGCAAGGAGAGGCGCTACGAACAACAAATACCTTGTTTGCTTTTGACAACCTTGTAAGGTCAAAACTTGCTCACACAAGCGCTTGGCTCACATTTAATACCATTTTGCTCCAGAAGATTGTATGTTCAGCAAAACAAAACATCGAAACACACCTCCTTCTGGGGCAACAAGTAATGAAAAGAACAAACAAACAAAACAAAAAACCCCATCAAGGCCCTTCTCCTCCCTTACACTTTAAGCCACCAAGAGGTCGGGCACATCACCTACTCGAACATCCACCGAGCAGCCCACTGTCCAGGACGGGTTTCCCAACACCTGGTTTTGGCACAAGAGGTGAACAAGCGAAGATTTTCCGACACCTGCAAGTGCACACAGAGGACAACCCCTGGGAGATCACACAAGCGCAAGTAAAAAGACCAAGAGCTGACGGGCAGCAGCACTAACTAAACGTGACAGCCCTGCCGCCGCCCTTCCCCCGGTGCCAACAGGTAACGGCCACCGGTCAGCGCCCAACAGTCGGGGCAAATAGGGGAGGAAGGGAAGGAAGGAGCGAAGCCCCGAGGACCAGGGTGCACGGCCGAAGGCGGGCA